ATGACCCGAACCTATTTTCCATGCGCTTGCCCCCCCCAACTCCACCGACATCCTCTGAAATGGATCACAGGAGCCACCGTTGCATGTTTCGCTCTCGTGCGAATTACATCACAACGTGTGGGTAGGGGTCAGCATCGTCCTCCCCGCCGTGTCTACAATGCTACCACCCCCTGGATCAAAAAGTCCAGATCGGCACTGCAGGCCCCTTTGCATCGTCGCTATCAGACGGGGCTGGGAACTTCGAGCATCGATTGTTCCTGGACCTTCAATTCTGGACCATGGCCTCCGAGATGACCCCGCGACAGGCCCGCGCGCCGAACAACAGAAACGCGCCGCAAGGCGCTGAGCACTGAGCACTGGAAACAACAAACTCTGTTTAGAATCGCCCACGCCGAGTAGTAAACATGACTTGCAGGAAGTCCCATGCAAAAGCGCAACTTTCAGGCAACATAAGTGGGGCCGTATATTTTTGTGTGAAGAAGTCTTGAGCGGAGTCGCCAAAATCTGGTGACCTCTGAAAATTTCCGGTCGTCTGAAAAATGGCCAGCTTTTTGCTTGGTCGAATTGGTGGGCGGAATGCGAATTTCGGTTCGTCGCCCCATTTGGCAACTATGATACTAAAGGGGGTGAAGATGCACCGGAATTTTTGCCGCTGCGGCCTGGGCAACATAGTGCCGGGGCCCCGTGGACTCACAAGAACCGAACATCAAAGTTTCTTCCCCGACCTCTGCGGTCAAGACTTTTGAGAGAGCGTGATCCACCTCTGTCCGCACCCCCACTCGGTTTTCGAGGGGGGGGGGGGGGGTTCGAACCGGTTGTGACCCCCCCCCCTCATGAACCGGTTGTGACCCCCCCCCCTTTTCATGATGAGCTTGGGGGGAGGGAACCGGTAGTGACCCCCCGATGTTTCGAACCGGTAGTGACCCCCCCCGGTTTTCCGGAGGGGGGGGGGGGAGGAGGGGTTCGAACCGGTAGTGACCCCCCCCGGTTTTCCGCCAGCAGCGGTAGAACACGCTCTTTCAGACTTTTCAATCTAGGGGGTTGACCACCGCGAGAACGTCGCCGCCCGTGCAATTGCTCAGCGTCCACCTAAAAAGCGGACGTCCACGCCGAACAAGGCGCAGTCAGCATTTTTTGCACCACCGCTAGAGCGTCGCCGCTTGCGCATGTGCTTAGCGCCGACCTAAAAGCGGGCGTCCACGCCGAACAAAGCGCATCCGCCATTTATTTGGCAACCACCAGCGCGAGAGCGTCGCCGCTCGCGCATTTGCTTAGCGCCGACCAAAAAAAAAAAGGGCGCCCACGCCGAACAAGGCGCATTCACAATTTTATGCAACCACCACCGCGAGAGCGTCGCCGCTCGCGCATGTGCTCAGCGCCCACCAAAAAAAACGGGCGCCCACGCCGAACAAGGCGCATTCACCATTTTTTGCAAGCGCCACCGCGAGAGCGTCGCCGCAAGTGCACTTGCTCAGCGCCGACCCAAAAAGCGGGCGTCCACGCAGAACAAGGTGCAGTCAGCATTTTTTGCAACCACCGCGAGAGCGTCGCCGCTCGTTCCATTGCTCAGCGCCCACCTAAAAAGCGGGCGTCTACGCCGGACCATGCAAATTCAACATTTTCTCCAACCACCACCGGGAGAGCGTCGCCGCTCGCGCATTTGTTCGCTCAACGCCCACCAAAAAACAGGCGCCCTCGCCGAACAAGGCGCATTTACCATTTTTTGCAACCACCCCCTGGATCAAAAAGTCCGGATCGGCACTGCAGCTACACTGGCATCGTCGCTATCAGAAGGGGCCAGGAACTTCGACCTTCGATTGTTCCTGGACATTCAATTCTGGACCATGGCCTCTGAGATGACCCCGCGAGATGCCCCCGCGCCGAACAACGGAAACGCGCCGCAAGGCGCTGAGCACTGGAAGCAACAAACTCTGTTTAGAATCGCCCACGCCGAATGGTAAACATGACTTGAAGGAAATCCCACGCAGAAGCGCAACTCTCAAGCAACATAAATGGGACCGGATTTTTTGTGTGAAGAATTGCTGAGCGGAATTGCCAAAACCTGGTGGCCTCTGACAATTTCTGGTCGTCTGGAAAACGACTGGCATTTTTTGATGGAGTGAAATGCGAATTTATGGTCGTCGCCCCATTTGGCGATTATACTATTCAAGGGGGTGAAGATGCACCGGAAATTGTGCTGCTGCGGTCTCTGCAACATTGTGCCGGGGCCCCGTGGACTGACTCACTGGAACCGAACATCAAAGCTTCTTCCCCGACCTCTGCGGTCCATCCCTCTCCCTCTCTACACCCTAGACAAAGCTCACACCAGAAATGTAAGAACACATTCTGCTCTCAATTGGCTCGGCCTCTCGATTTCCGTATTCTCGCTCGGTCGCATAACTTCTACTATCGCCGCGGCAGCGTCCTGTCCCCCCCCCACGCGTCCACGCTTCATCGTCCTGCTCCCTCTTCCAACTTATCACAATGTCGCTCTGAGAACCCGCCCTGTGCCGAGTCCAAGGTTGAAGCCGGGCAGGACGAGGGACGGGATAATCTAAGGGAGGACGAAGCGCACGAGAAATCACCCGAACCTTAACCTTGTAACCCTAAGCAACCTAAAACCTACACCGGAACCATAACCAGAACAACCTAACGCCCTGACACCTTGGGTTTAGAATCCTATGGTAAAATAGCCGTGGTTCGCGGCCACAACCGGCCCTTGACCGGCCCCAAACCGGCCCCTGGACCCGACCCTCCCCCGCGCTCCACTGCAACAAATGGCACACGCGGCACACACTGGCTGACCATGGGATCCTCTCAGTTTGACCGTTTTGAACATATGATCCGGATCATCCGCTGTAAAAGAACAGTTCGGTGCACATTTGCCAATCTACGCAATCATCCAGCCCCAACGATTCATTGCAACAAATACAATTTGGTGGACATCGTTTGGTCTTCACATCGGCACAACACTCACCAGTCTATACAACAGTGCCATCTGATGACCTTCGCGCCCATCCAATCCCCACGGTCGCTGGCAAACAGAAAAAGTGGGCGTCGGTTGATCCTCACATCGACCGAACACTCAGCATCCCACTTGCGCATTTCACACCCATCCAATTCCCACGATCTCTTAACAAAACATACCATTTGGTGGACACCGGCTGATCTTCACAGCGCGCTCCCAAGCCCAGGGGCGTTCCCAGGCGCTACCAGACGCCCCCATCGCTCCCCAAGCGCTCCCAAGCTCGCCGTCGCCAGCAACAACAGCATCCACATTCTCATCTTCGCCGTCCTCGTCGACGCACGAGGCGTTAAAAACCAGATGAATCAAATCGCGTTGACGCGTTCATATTGTTGAGGAGGTCGATCTTATGCGAAGGGGTAAAAGCAAGAGCCAGGCAATCGCCCCGAGACGGCCTAGATGTGTTCCGAAGGTGCAGAGGATGCACGGCCGCGTTGACGCGATAAGAGGCTTGGGGCGGTGACCCTCACGCCCGAACCCTAACACCCGAACACTACCACGCTAGCCCTAACACACTACGCCTTGCACCCTGAGCACCCTGCCACGAAGCACCCTGACCCTGACACATTGCCCCGCACACCCTGACCCGAACACCGCAACACCCTACCCCTAACTCCACCATGCGCCGGAGCGCGACCCCCGCTCTTCCACCCCACCAGCGGGGGGGCGGAGAGCCCCCCCGCCCCTTCACGAGGGGTGGGATACGCCCCCCCCCCCCCCCTCCGCACTCTCCAGCGAAAAATGGGGAAGGCGCAGGAACCGGAGCCGTCCCCCCTGCAAAGGGAGGGGGCGGGAAGGAGGGGGGAGGGGGGGAGAAACAGACGGGTCGGGGGGCAGGGCGGGGGTCGCTGGCCCCCCCCCTCCTCTCTCCTGGGTGGCCACTGCTGGCGCTCTCTCCCGCCCGGGCCCGCTGCCCGCTCTCGGCCCGCCTCGGCCAGCTTCAGCGCTCTGGAGGGCCTCCGGAGAGGCAAGCGTCCCTGGAGATTCTTTAGCATCCTCGCGGTTTCGGTCGCGGGAGCGCCCCGGGCGGCCCAGGGAGCCTCCAAGACCGGCCCAAGAAGGCCCACGAGGCACCCGACGGGGGGCCCACGAGCCCACGAGGCACCCAATACGGCCCCAAGAGGGGACGAGACAGCACGCCACCGCTGCGTCGCGGGAAGCCAACCCCGCCAACGTAATCCCAAAGTGCCTAAGAGGTCTCGAGGAGGCCCCAAGATGCCCCCAGGTGAGCCCCCACAAAGGCCCCCGGGAGGCCCCAAGAAGCACCCCAAGAGCCCCTCGAACAAGACCCGACGGCTACTACAATTTGGCCCTCACCCCTTGCCCCCGACCCCCCTCCCGCCTCCTGCAAACCATGATCCTTCCAGCTGGCATGAAGGAGGCGGGTCCTGGTGGAAACGGGCCCAGGGCCCAGGCGAGCCTCCCCTGGGACCAGCTCCTCATCCTGAGCCCCCTCTCTTGCTGGCCCTGGGGCCTGGGGACCCTGGAGGCCCAGGGGCCCAGGAGGCCGCAAGCGGTGAGACACCTCATGAGCATCGTTGAACCGACCCCTGTCCCCAGCGGGGTGGCCTGGGCCCCACTGGCCGAGTCACACCTCTAGATGGGGATGTAGGCTGTTCCCTTCGGGTCTCGAGGAGCATATCTCCAGCTGGGGCGGTTGAGATGGTGGGGCTCGGGATGGAGTTTTCGATCCAAGGATGCTGACCGCAGCACCCCTCAGGGATCGACGGACCCAGCCGCAAGGACTCAGCCGCAACCCCAGGCACAGCTCAAGCTTTGCCGCCACCGCCGCTGCCGTGCTGCCCCCTCGCGGCGAGGGCGGCGCCGCCGACGAAAACGACGACGTCGTTGTCGTTGTCGTTGTCGTTGTCGTCGTCGCCACACCGCCTCTTTCTGCGGCCGTCTCGCGCCTCGGGCGCTCGCCGTCTACGCGCCGCGCCCCCGGCGCCGCAAGCTCTGGCAGCTGGCCGGGGCCCTACGTCTCCGCGAAGGCCTGCGCGCGGCCGCGCGCGGCTGCGCTTCCCACCGCTCGCCGCGCGAGGCTCTCGGCTCGCTGCAGCCGCCGCTGCTGCTGCTGCTGCTGCAGGCCCAGAGCCCCTCGCGCCACGAAAGAATTGGCTACACGCAAGAGTGACCCCATAAGTGCTCTTAGAGAAGGCCTGGACCCCAAAGCCCCGAGACGCCGAAAAATCGCTCCAAGACGCCCAAGACGTCCCCCAGGCGATTCCAAGACGCCCCACCAGGCCTGCGGTGGCGGGATGGGCCGACGGCCACCGCTTGGGGGAGTTTGCAGTCCTTCAGGGTCCGTAGAACCGAAGCGGGATCGCGCAGAGTTTTATCAAACTCGGCGAAATCCTGCTCGGGCTTTTTTTATGCTTCTGCTGCAGACTTCGCCGCGTCCCACAAACCGATCTCACAGGCACGATGTGATGCATGTCTACCTGGATTCGGGACCCAGCTGCAAAGCAACGTTGAAAGAGGCAACGTCTCTTATCTGCGATATCGAACAGAATCTGCCTCGAGCCTCCCCATAAGCCCCACATGGCAAACCTAGAACTTTTCACTGGGTTTCGGTCCTGTCTGGGAGGTAGTGTTTTGTTGCGGATGAAGTTTGACGGCCCCAGGGCCCGGAAACGGCTCTCATACGCAGATTTCCTTTCCAATGTCAAATGTCGAAGGTCTGCCCCACCCCTACTTCCGCCGCCCTCCAGCCTCCCTCGTTCTCGGCCTCTCATTTCTGCCGCCCTCAAGCCTCGTCCTCCCTCGCCCTCGCCTCATTCCGCTTCCCTTCTCTCCCTCTTCTCCCCTGAGCGGATCGCCCAGGAAAGAACACTACATCCATCCAGGTGCTCCGATCGCCCATGTGTTCGACGAGGCTCCCGAGCGGCTACGTGGCTCGTTCTAGAAACACTGAACCACAAATCTACCGACCCCGTCGGTGTGTGGAAGACGCTGTCGTCGTCCTCGTCGTCGTCGTCGTCGTCGTCGTCGTCGTCGTCGTGGTCGTCGTCGTCGTCGTCGTCGTGGTCGTGGTGGTGGTGGTGGTCGTCGTCGTACCCCTTCAGGGTCGGCGGGACCGGCCGCAAGGCCTTCGCAATAGCTTTAGGTCGGGCATGTCCTCCTACAGGCGGATTTTGGGCGAAACATCAAGAATGGTCCAGAAATATGCCAACATACTCAAAAAATGATAATAGAAAAACCGTCCCCATACTATGTTCGAACTATTTTTGGACATTCCTCCTGTAGAGGGACAGGCCTGACTTAACAATACTTAGGCGTAACGAAAGTTTCCTTGGAAATGCGGAAGACCTCCAGACGACCCAGACAGGATGCCTAGGCGGCCCCATGGCCCCAATATGGTTCCACGACGGCCTCAGACGGGCACGAAGATGACCTCGGGCCGACCCCAAGAAGACCCCGTGGCCCCTGCAGGATCCAGACGCAGCGTCGAAATGGCCTGGGGGCGAATCCAAGATGGCCCAAGATGTGAGCGATGCCCTGGAGACCAGGTGCGGTGGCCCCCGAGTGACCCCGAGGTGGCTGGAGCATTCCGAGAGTGCAACACCATGATCGTAAGATGACCTGGAGATGATTTCAAGATGATTTCAAGCTGGCCCGAACACGTCATACATTGGCGGGATTGGGTCCCACCGCGGGATGTATCCGGACCCCGTTATTTTATGGGTGGGAGTCATGTTTGGCTGGACTAAAGCTATGGTATTATAAAGGGGAACTACTCGGCAAGGATCCCGCCGAGACCACGCAAGAGGGCTTTCTTGCTAGGCTGCTAGGGGGGAGGAGGGTTCAACACAATCTGCCCCTCAACCCCATCGGGGGCCGTTGCCACGAGGGCTGCAAAGTAAGTGAGCACACAATGCCATCAGGCCCAAGTCAGAAAATTCAAGGAACTTTCGGAGCGGCGATGCAGCTTGCACCTCTCAGGGGGCGATGCTCATTTCCCCTGGCCTTCCGCCGCCCCTCGAGCCATCGGAGCGGCACTCGTCTTTTTTCCTCCGCTGGGGCTTTCCGCCGAGGAAGGGACACGCCAGCTTCTCGACCCCTCGAGGGCGACCCCCCTTCCTGGAACGCCCTGAACAAGAATGTGATGAAAAGCACTCCGAACAAGTGTGATAAACAACTTTGTTATCACCGTTGTTTATTATCCTAGTTTTTTATCACAGTTTGTATCACACGTGTTCGGAGTTGTTACCACACTTGTTGGTAACTCCCACCCTGGGGGTTACTCTTCCCGCCGCCTTCCGCCGAGGAAGAGACACGCCAGCTTCTCGGCCCCATCGAGGGCAGGGCCCTTTCGGGAACACCCTGCACCTGGCAACGCCCACTCCTGGAACGCGCTACGTGGTAATCTGCCCTCCCCCCCACACTCCGCGACGGACTCCATCCCAAGAGGTCATGCGCCACAGTCGATTTGTCAGCCTTTCGCCCCACCTGATCGGGGTCATTCATATCCCGTGGGATTGAGAAGCGGCCAGGAGGGCTGACATGGACGGGCCCCGAGAACATCTGTCAAATAATGGAAGACGAGGGCGAATCCGAGAAAGAAAACGGTCCCCAGACTCCTTTCCGAGACCGACCAGTTGTTTGAGCCGCGCCCAGCTGTTGTGACGAGGGGGCCCCCGTCTCACCCCACACCCCTACTGGCCGCAGACTGTGCTGGGCCACCCGAACCAGCTCTAGCCTTGGCTGCTCCTCCCCGTCACCTTGCGTCGATCGTGGGCGAACGCACATCTCCGCACCCGCGGCCTCGCACCCCGCACATCTCCGACCCCGTGGCTGAGGGGCGTTTTTTGTCGCGGGACGTACCCGTGCGACCACGCATCCGCGGGATCGCGCCTCGGAATCGAGACCGCGAGGGCGCGGATATGGATATGCTCGCCACTCGTGAGAGGAATACGAGGGGGAGGAAGAGGAGGAGCAGGAGGATGAGGAGGAAAGGAGGAGGAGAGGGAGGAGGAGGAGGAGGAGGAGGAGGAGGAGGAGGAGGAGGAGGAGAAGGAGGAGGAGGAGGAGGAGGAGGAGGAGGACAAGCTAGGTGCGCTCGCGTCATATCTGACATCCTACCCCTCCCTCCCATCCCTTACCATGGCGTAGATCCCCTCTCTACTCGCAGTTGGATGTCGAGCAGGGCAATGATCCCGACAGGGTACGCGATGCATTGTAGAGCACGACATGGTATGGCGTAGAAGAGCACCGCAAAGCGTAACATCAACCTAGCATTGCATTGCATGCCGTGGCATGGCACGGGAAATGACGCCAGCGCTGCAGCGGGAGCACGAGTCGAAACGAGCGGAAGCGCGGAAATGAGGCCAGCGCTGCAGCGGGAGCACGATTCGGAACGAGCGGAAGCACGGAAATGAGGCCAGCGCTGCAGCGGGAGCACGATTCGGAACGAGCGGGGCCCGAAAATGAAGCCGGCGCCTCAGCGAGGTCAGCTTTTTGGAAAAAAATGCAGGCGAGAACCTAACTCTGGGGAAACCTGTGTAAAAAAACAGTTCGCGGAAGGGGGTCGAGCACTTTCAAGCCGTCATCAGGGGAAGAGGGAGAGTAGTATTCATATTGAGTAATTGTGGAGGAGGAGGAGGAGGAGGAGGAGGAGGAGGAGGAGGAGGAGGAGGAGGAGGAAGAGGAGATAGGGCAGCCGCTCGTGAGCCGACCGAAACCCCGCCCCGCCCCACGGCCTGCCGCGAGGGGCGCCAGCCGCCCGGCGGGGGCCGCTCCAGGTTCCCTGAGGGCCGAGGCCGCGCGCTTCCGGTCGCGGCCACGGCAGCGCGCGCGCGGCCTCCTCCACGATTCCGAGGGGGGAGCAACGAGGCCACCGCCACCGATAGCCCATCCTTTTTTTTTTACCCCGCAGCGAGGCGCCCCCACGGGGCGACGCCCCTCGCATCCTCTGGCAACGTGAAGCGAAACTCGCTGCAACGGAACGTCGCCGGCATATAGAGGATGAAGACGAGGGCGAAGGAGGACGCGCAGGAGAAGGGGCAAGGGTTGTGGATGCCATGACAATGGACACTCTAACCGTTCTACCATTGAATTAGACATGTCTTTAAAATGTTTGATACATGTCCTAGAAATGTTTGCAACATGTTTTCCTCCATGGTTGAAGCATGTTTAAACTGTTGTTTGACATCTGGGAATTATTTGGCAACGTGCTTCCTCTCCATTGATCGTCGTCCACAGGGCAAGGGCGCTGTGCAGCGATGCCCTGCGGCCCAAGCGGCCACAGCACACGACCGCAACCACACCGAGAGAGCCCATGGGGGGGGAGAGGCGGTGGCCGACGCCTCGGCGCTGGCACGCCCGAGCACCACCCCGGTCGGTGGCGCGCGGCGGCAGTCCACAAGAAACCCTCCACAGTGGAGGCCGGTCCACAAGAAACCTTCCACAAGAAACTCAACCCTGAGACCCCAGGGCGTCCATGGACTTTTGATTTGGGAGCGTCACGCTGTCCTCAGCAAGGCCATCGAAACCCAAGAAACCTTGGGCACCCTGAAAGCAAGCAGGGCGTTTCTTGGCATGGGCCCCCACTGTACTCCACAGGACACGAGAAATTCACTCGGCGCGGAAAGTCATTGACGCGCGCAGGGGGCAGGCAGACCTCCTCGGGTCCCGGGTGTGGCGGAAACCCCGGTGTGGCGGCGGCACCGAGTGCGGCAAGCATGGCGTTGAATGCGGCTCCGCCGGCCCTCGTTGCTCGGCCTCAGCTTCAGCGGGCAGCGCGTTGAACAATTGTTCGGCGCGGATGTCCCAATACGTGAATCTCGTCATCCGGCACTTTCTTCTGTGAGAGCCTGCGCGCGGGCAGGTCTGAGCGACAGCGTGCCGGTGATGCACCCCCGTGGCGGTCCCCCGTGGGGGGGCTCAAGTGCCGTGCCTGCTGCATTGCGGTGATCGTGGGGCTCTGGAAAGGCATGCGCCCAATGCCACAAGCGGCCGCCCAAGACGTCCCGAGAGTATGGACGTCCACGGGCCCGTGACACAACCCTTGGCGGCTCCATCCTGGGTGGCCCAAGTGTCATGCTTGATACTTTTCTGAGAGCGTAGGCCGCTGCGAAAAAAGCGCGTCCAGCGCCGCGAACTGGCGATTTGCTGGAGACACCCCCACCATCTAGGCTGGCCGACAACACCGTGGGAGGCCCAAGAGGCACGCCTCCCTCGTCGCGGCGATCATGGGGCTCTGAGAAGAGGACTGGGCCCAAACTGGCATGTCGCCTGACAGGTCCCAGAAAACTGGGCGCGGCCTTGCCTGTGGAACATCCTTAGTCGGCACTTCCTGGGAAACCCCAAGTACCATGTCTGTTAAATCGCGGCAGAGAATCCCCGCCACTGGCCCAGAAGAGGCGATTCGACTGAAGAGTCCGGGCAAATCTGGGCACGAACTGGCCCGTGGAAGACCCCCGGTCGACACGCCCTCGATCGGCCCAAATGCAGCGCCTGCTATATCGCGGTGACCCTTCGGTTCTGACATGAGGACTCGTCCTCTGGGCCACCACGAGCGTTCCGCCCGACACCGGCAACCTGGAAGCGAACATGCCCTGACTGGCCTCCCCCTCCCTGGTCGACACCCCTGGACGACACCCCCTGGGAGGCTCCAGTGCCATGCCTGCCAGATCGCTGTGATGATTGGGGTTTGAACAGGGGCCCGTCCAATCGGCCGACACTGGCGCTTCACCTGTGGGATTTCGACAATCTGGCTGCGAATGGGCCAAAGGAACACCCGTGGTCGAAACCTCGCGGGGGGGCCCCAGTCCTAGTCCTGCTACGTCGTGGCGAAACTGAATACGATCGAGGCTACGCACGAGCGGGAACGACTATGAGTGCATCAGAGTACGGATGAGGCTGGGTATGGGCGATTCTGAGAATGAGTGGGTCTGAGTGTGTGGGTGAGTCTGAGCGTGAGTGAGTCTGGGTTTGTGTGGATACGAGCGAAAACATCAGAGTATGGGCGCGTTTGAATGTGAGCGGGTCTGAGCGTGAACGGTCTGCGTATGAGTGAATGTGAATATCACTGGGAGGGAAGTGACCGTGGTGGAAAAGCAACACTAGCAACAAACAACATAGTTCGGACACGGGACATAACAGTACTGTCGATGGGTGGGCACCACGATGAGGAGGCACCCGCACACTTCTCTGAGGAACTCCATGTGACGCCCTCGCAGCCGCATTGCATCGCGTCGCATCACCCTGCGTTCGACAGCGCCGTCGCCCGCAGCTGCAGCGGCGGGGGCAGGACGTTTCCTCCTCCTCCTCCTCCTCCTCCTCCTCCTCCTCCTCCTCCTCCCCCAGTCCTTCCTCCCTCCTCCATTATCGATCCCTCCTAGGCACGTCGCTGCGCCACCAAGTTCGATCATGTCGCGCTCCGACGGGCCGCACGGCGCGCGGCTTTCTACGGCACTGGAGCTGGGAGCGGCGAGGGGCGGATGACATGTTTATCCCTCCTCCTGCCTCCCCCCTCCCTCCGGCTCCCGCCACCTACCTCCTCCTCCTCCTCCTCCTTCTCCTCCTCCTCCTCCTCCTCCTCCTCCCTCTTCCTCCTCCTCCTCCTCCTCTTCCTCCTCTCTCCTCCTCCTCCTCCTCCTCCTCCTCCTCCTCCTCCTCGTTCTCCTCATCCTCCGCCCCTCCTCCCTCCCTCCCTCCCTCTCTCCCTCCTCCCTCCTCCTTCCTCCTCCTCCTCCTCCTCCTCCTCCTCCTCCTCCTCCTCCTTCTCCCTCCTCCCTTCCGTCTCCCTTGTCCTTCCTGCTCCCTCCGCCCTGCTGTTGCAGGGGGCTTACGCACCGTGGCACATCGCCGCCCCGCGGCCAGAGCTACGCTGTGAGGAGGTTAGCATCAGGTCAGGACGACAAAAATGCAAAATGGCCAAAACATATTCAAAAAAAATAGCCTAACAATAATTCAAAAATCGTCCCCGGACTATGTTTTACTATTTTTGAATATTCCTCCTGTAGAGGGAGAAGCCCGACTTAAGGTTAGCAGCATATGGGCGCTTCCCCACCGATTCCCGTTGAGACGACACCCGGACGAGGATGAAATCGAGAAGCTCTGAGATCCGGCGGTTCCAGAGGATGTCTCGGGCGCCGCGGCCTTCTCGGAGCGTTCCGGAACGCTGTGAGAGCGTTCGGGAACGCTCTGGACCAGATTCCTCCTCGTCCTAGCCTCGTCCGACGCGTGCTCACAAGACCACTCTGACTGACTTTGCGCATCAGCTGCCACGGGCCGGCGGCCACCGGCGCGAGCGCACCCCAGTGTGAGCCGCGGGAGAGACGAACAAGGCACAACCCCTTTCTCTGCCGGGATGGCCGGCGCCGAGGTCGTGCCGCAGCGCTCGTGCTCCATCTTCTACCCCATCCCGTCCGCAGGTACAAAGCGATGTTAATGCTCAATACGGCTGCGCCGCAGCCATTCTTGTGCATTTGCATCCTGAGGTCTCTCTTTGGACCATGGGGGTGGTAAAGCCTCCGGCTCCTGAGAGTTGGTGACAAGCCCGCGGAAAGAATAGCATTGCGACAAGCACCTAAATGCCTAAATGAGGTTGGGGGTGAACCTAGGATCCCACTCCCTGCGTGGGCGTTTGGCTCGTTGGACCTCGGGGACGTGGCAGCGGCCAAGGTGCCGTTGCGCTATCTCAGAGATGGGGCGTCATGCTAACACTCTTTGACAGCCACGGGGCAGATCCTGGCGTACATGAGTGCCGCGCCGCTCGTGCCCCTTTCTCTTCAGGCCCCAAGGCAGCGCCTGCAGCACCGGCGGCGACGTCTCTGGCCCAGGCGACGCATGATCGGACTGGGATATCGGTCTAGGCGGACTGTGCGTCGGATCGGGCTGCATCGACACGGAGTCGAAATCAGATCGGATCGGCTGCGCCAAGATGCACAACAACACCATGCAAGCACCCCAGAAATCTAGTGTCTTGATTTTCCGCTAGGGGTTCCCGAAGTCCAGACTCTTTCCCCAATGCCCGTTCTTCATCCCGAGTGGTCTCCTACTGGTCATGGGGCCTGGCGAGGGCCCGAGGGCCCCCCGAAGCCGACCACGGTCATCAACCTGCCGCCATGCTTTGTTCACGTCGCGGGCACATCCGGGGCGGATCGCCGGACTCTCGGAATCGAATCGGGCCGGGCCGGTCGGAAAACGAATCGAATCGGACCGAGAGATCGAAACGACGACGACGACGACGACGACGACGACGACGACGACGATGGCGGAAGCCCCGACGGCCGGCGGCGGGGTCCGCCTTGCAGCAGGCGGATGAACTCGTTGTAGCGGAGCAGCCCCTGGCCTGCGACGCCGCGGGCGGGGGGTCCCCGCCATCGCTCGGGCTCCCATGCCCCGTGCATTCGTCGACTTCGTGCGTTTTATGTTCTGCGCAGACTGGTCCGAAATGCTCCTCGATGGTCCTCGCCAGGAAAAATTCGCACGTCCGAGCGGTGCCAGGTGTCTGGCCTGAGCTGGATCGAACTGCGAGGTCGGATCGGAGCGGAAACGGATCGGATGTCGTCTGACTCGGCGCGGGATCCAGTTCCCACCTCACACACATCGTCTCCCTGCCCACCTGGGTGTCCTCGAGGACCTGGACCCCCAAAGCGACCCCATCGTGTGAATCGCAAGCAGAAAGGGAGGCCTTGTACATTCGAGGAGGCGGAGGAGGTGGTGGATGAGCGGGCAGATGCTCAGAAGAAAAAGAAACATGAGGAAGGAGGAACAGGTCTAACAGCAGGAGACGAGGAGCAGGATAACCAACGGCTGACGGAGGTGGGAAAAGGATGTGTGTGGCAACGCCGAGGATGGAATCGGACCGGGAGAGGAAGAAAGGAGGATCGGGACGGAAGAGGTGAGGAGGGAGAGAAACCAAGACGATGAAGGGAGCAATGGGGGAGTAGGATTCGAGGAGGAGGAGGAGGAGGAGGAGGAGGAGGAGGAGGAGGAGGAGAGAGAAAAGAGCACATGGACACATTGTCCTATCCTAACCTCACTGGATGGGGCCAGCCGGTCCCGACAAGCTGGTGGATGAGGTGAAAACCCGCAGCGCCTCTTGCACTACCTTCGGGGCCTCTTGGTGGCTTGAGAAGAAGCCCTTACTGGTTCTTGCGAGGTGAATTCTGCCGCCGTTTGCGACTCGGCTCGCGCTTCTTGCAGAGATGTCGGCCGTCGGCCGTCGGCGCCTTGCCACACACCGAACCAATCATCGCGAGCATTCGCGCCAAAAGTGCATTCCGCGAGCACCGTGAGCGTCGCGAGCTCCGATCGACACGGCTCCTCGGACGGCCTTCAGCTCCGGGAGGGAGAGAAGCCGGCACCCCGGCCCGCGGGCGGAGCTCTCTCCGACGGGGGGGCCCGGAGTTTCGGCGACGTCGAAGACCCGGAAGGACAGGGCGATTTTGCGGCGGCGAGTGGGGAAGTGACGACCGTGGCCGTCGGGCCCGCTGCCGCACAAGAGAGGAGGCCGCGTCCCACGTGCCAGCCCGCGGGAGCTCGCCGACAGGGGCCCTCGCCCCCGACGCTCGCGGCCGAGGAGGAGGCCGAGGAGGGCGAGGGGGACGAGGACTCCACTCCGCTCAGCTCCACCCTCTGGGGCGGGCGGCACGCCCGGGGCCCACTCCGACACCACCCCAGCCATCTTATCGGCGTAGGCGTTTCCCTTGGCGCCGAAACCGAGCGCGGGAACAACTAACTGATTTGGCTCATCGTCTACATGGCTGGACATCCAAATTACCTGGATCTCAGATGGACTAGACCCTCTGGAGCGGATGGCAACTCGAATACGAACCTAGAAGTCCCCGTCGGCCCCGCGAGAACAGAATTCATCACGATTCGGTGCCATCTGCTCCACAGGGCGTATTATCGGTATTCGAGTGATCACGGCCGCTGCTATGTTCGAGGGCGAGGGCGAGCGCAAGGAGCTCAGCATGCGGCACTGTCTGGCGTGCGCCTGGAAGCCCGTCGATCACTCCGCCCACTGGCATCCATCGGCCACCTCCGCCACCATCCTGCTTCACGGTAACAGCAGCTGCGCCGATGCGGCGCCTGCGAGTGTCCGACGAGTAGGCCCCGCCCGAGCCATCGCCGAAAATGTGCAGCACGTCCCAGCCGTGCTCCCAGGAGCCGAGCGTAGCCCCGACAAGCACGAACCAGTCGGCCTTGGACTCGTCGAACGTCGGAGTGGTCATGGCGACGGGGCGAAAGCCACGGAGCCAGAGGGCGGGGTCCTGCTCCACGCCCGCGCGAGCCTGAGCAACGATGTGATCCGAGGCCTCGAACGCCTTGTGCCCTACCTTGCACGGGCACTCCCACGGGTAACGGAAGAGGCTCTCGCGAGCAGAGTGGCAGCGCTGGCAGAACTCGTCGGAGTTGCACCCCGCACGATGCTGGCGCTCTCGCGGCCACTGACCCCCGCTCACCACGACCATGTACTGGGCCCACTGGTCCATGGCCCCCTGCACAAGGAAGCGCTGAAACTCGCGCTGGATGTGCATCATGCCCGCGCCGTTGCTGAGACTCTCACCAAGCTCATGCAACGAAGCGGTGCGCCGCATCCGAACGCGATAATCTGACATAAGGTCCTCCAACAACTTCGACCGGTCAACCACAGCAACATCAGAATCGTCGGGTCCAGGAGACCGCCGCCCCCCTGCGCCTCGCACTCGTTGAAGAGACCCGCCAGTACGCCCAGCCCCTCGGGGATGAGGCGCAGCAGGTCGGATGGGCGGAGGCTGTCCACGCCCAGGGAGGAGAAGGAGGAGGAGGAGGAGGAGGAGGAAGAGGAGGAGGAGGAGGAGGAGGAGGAGGAGCAGGAGTAGAGGAGTGAGGAGGGCAGGATGAGGGCAAGGGAAGGGAGGAAAAAGAAGGGCAACGGTTGTGGCTGCCGTCCCACCCTCGACACGAGGAAGCAGCAGCGGCAGCACCATCGGTTTCGAGCACCCCACGGCCGTCTCGGTCGAAGAACGCCATCATGCGCGCCGCCTCCTCCTCCGTGACGAAATTGTGGGCGCGATCCTGGTGACGCCCGCGGCTTCCAGACCGTCACCCTGGGCACTGCCCCGCCCCCGTGACATCCACTCGAGCATTAGGAAGGGAGCGCAGAAAAAAATGAGACACTTCGGGATCTCTTTGGGGGCGTCTTGGACATCTTGTGGCTCGCCAGGCATGCAACGAATTAGGAACAAAAACGAAAGCGGATTCGTTCAGGCCTCGGCCTCTGGGGATGTCTTGGTCTACTTGGCTCTTTTGGGGCTTTCTTGGAGTCCCTTGGGGCGCCTCGGAGCTCTCCTGGGGCAATTTCGGAGGTCCCTCGGGGTTCTCCCGGTGCACGTCTGCGATCTCTGGGGGCTCCCTGGAGCGTCTCAAGGGCCATCCGATGGCTGCCTCGTGGGCGTCTCGGGGTCACCATGCGGGCCCTTTCTCGTGCCAGCCCCGCCCCTCCCCTCCCCTCGGCACGCCCGCAATGGGTAGGGGAAAAATGGGCACGATGCCCAACAGCAGAACGCTGTCCAAGAAAACGACAGCGGCCGCTGCTGGGCAGGCGAGCTTGTGTTTACAATGGACAACCACCGCGGCGACGCCGACATCGAATCCTGCTCAGACTGGTGAAACGGCAAAAACACATAAGCACAACTTTTTCGAAGCTCCAGACGGACTTCTTGGATCCGCGCCAGGGGCGGCGCTGGCGGCGCCATCAGAGGGGGGCCGAGCGCCGATCCAAGAAAACCACGCGCAGCTCCGCAAACTCATGATTATGCCGCTGTCTCTCCTTCAAGGAGGAGGGGGAGGAGGAGGAGGAGGAGGAGGAGGAGGAGGAGGAGGAGGAGGAGGAGGAGGAGGAGGAGGGGGAGGAGGAGGAGGAGTAGGGGAGGAGGAGGAGGAGGAGGAGGAGGAGGAGGAGGAGGAAGGAGGAGGAGGAGGAGGGAGGAGGAGGAGGAGGAAGGAGGAGGAGGTAGTAGGAGGTGGACTCTGCGCGCCTTGCTCCCGTGCCCATCTCGGCCCCCCACTCTCCCAGGCCCGCCCGGCGCCGCCTCTGCCCACCCGCCCCTCACTTCCGGCACCCGCGCCGACCCTGCGACACCCCCGCCGACCACGGCGGGGCCCCCCGAGCCACCCGGCGCGCCCGCGGGCGGCCCCCGATTTTCCCCTGAGATCCTGGCATCTCGAACTCTTTCGAGCCGAGCGCCTTCGCCCAGTTCTGGGCTCCGGGACCCTCGCTGAGCATCGTTTAACCGATCCATCTCCCAACGGGCGTGGCCTGGGCACCACTGGCCGATTCACCTCCCTGGATGGGGATATGGGCTGCTCCCTTTGAGTTTCGAGGCGCATATCCCCAGCTGGGGTGGTGGGATGGTGGGGATGGGGATGGGGATGGGGATGGGGATGGGGATCGGTTTAACGATACTGACTCACAGATCGATCTGGCTCGAAAGACAGCGTAGAAAGACGGGGTCTAGGGCTCTAGGGCTCTAGCCGTGA